CACGTCATCCCACCATTTTCCAAAGTTGACTTTAATAGCTTTGAATGATTAAATTAGACATTTTTTTTAATATATTGTACAAAGTTTATAAGTCACACTAATGATATCATAAATTTTGTTTGATATTGATGATGTTATTAACTTGTATGTGACTGAAACAAGTTCTCAAGAACAAGTCTAAAAGGAGCCATGTCTAAGGATCACAAAATATAATCTAGTCTCCTTATTGCTTTTTTTCTTTTTAACCATCATAATCTAAGCTCATTTAAAGTAATTTATAAATAGCTTTTTAATCATAATTTATGTAATATATATGAGAATAGTTTTGTTCCAACTTATGTAATATATATGAGAATAGTTTTGTTTCAACTTACGTGAAACGTACTTACAATTGAAGTCTTAAATCTTGTAAGAAGAGTGGGCACCATAAATGTGAAAAGCAGAGAGACCCCACTAGTTAGCCCCATTTGATAGGCTAATCCCCATGGTTTTATAAAGTTATAACCCCAATCCTTGTGAGCGCTTTGAAAATTCTGTTTTCACGGTGTTGACATGGCCAACAATTATTACCATGTGGCACCACGTACGAGTGGCAAGTCAGAAAAAAATAAATAAAGATGTAGGAGGGGCATGAGTGATAATGGTCAGTGAAGCTATTGAAGATACTCTGCATATACTGAGACTGCACGACTTGAGCTTATTAAGCCATCCAAGATGAGCAGGCTAGAACTATATGTCCTTGCATGGATCAAGCTCAAGCCAAGCTTCCAAGTCGTAACATCAAAGGGTGTGAAGTAAAGTGCTGTCTAACTGTCAAAGCCTAGTGGACTAAATAAGGGCCACATTTCTTATTCGAATTAGAGGGGTAAGCACTAAAAACCCGAATTTCCAAACAAGCATACCTGTAGAAAAGCTAAGGTCATTGGTCAATATTTCTGCATCTCATTATTTAGCACTTCACATATCTGTATGTAAGCTTCAAAGTTCAAACTTAACCTTGCTGTTATGCGCAACAACAGCCTTCTTATTTTCCAACATTCTCTTCACGTTAAGGGGGAATGGATTGAATATGACCTATAAGGGTTGCTCGCCTACTTATTTAATCAACCACTGTTCTCTACGTATATAAGGATTCAACCACAAAGAGATCAAACATTTATAGACAGTAGATATCTCAGTGCCGAACACGCTTGAACAAGCCTCTGTTAACACATTCAAATTTGGAAAAGTGATTCACAGAATAGGAATATTACAAGAAATGATATGATAAATGTAACTTTTGTCATCCATCCTGCCTGGTCAGAACTTGCAACAGCTGGAACATCAGATGAGTAATTTATTTCTTTCAGAAGCATGCTGACGGAACAACCTGCATTTTGCAGCATCAGCATCATAATGTGTATTCCATAGTTGAAGCCTCGAGTTTTACACAAACCAAATCAAATTTCCGTGTCAAATTATCTATTGGCATGCTTCAAAATAAATCTATCACACCACTAAAAAAGAAGAATATGGAAGCACAATTCCTTGATTTTCCTTCATGACGGAGGATGAAAGAAAGAAAAAGAAAAAAGGGGCCCCGGGGGGGGGGGGGGGATACAGGTTGCTATATTAACCAGAGACATTAAACTATATCATCTTTGTTCTCAAGGTAGTCATTCCAACTATCCAACTTTTAGAGGCAAATAGTTTCTCAAGTTCAGAGGAAACTAGTCTTAAATCAGCGTTTCATTTTTGAGTCCAATGATTAGGTATATAAACAGTCCTCCAATTCTACTAGTCTTGCTTCCTTCATCATAGCAATAGCATGTAATATTTATCCAAGACACAGTGCCTCCTAAAGCTTAGCAATAAAGATATGCGTGTTTGGCATACAGAATTTCTTAATTTGACAGCAATAACACACAAGGCAATCATGAGCAAAATACCCAAAACGTAATTTACAGTTTATCACCAACGGTAACAGGAACAGCACTCCACCACCATCAATGGTTCATAATACCGAATAGACATCTCCAAGAAATAAGATTCTTGGGCTTCAGTTGACATTACAAAAGAAAGGTAAAGGCGGATTTTTTTTTTTTGGGGGGGGGGGGTGTGTTGTTGGGTCTATTCTCAACTGTCTCAATGCTGTCTGTCCCTCTATTAATTCTGCTAAAATAAAGAATATGTTGATCATTTTTCATCACAAAATCTGTTACATGGCAATATTAGGGAGAGTCATTAGTCTATTAAGTAGTTGTTGAGTTAACAATATAAGTGGGCAATAACCACTTCTGTTACATAGCAAACAAGTAGTTAGGGGAGGGATCAATTGTAAATACCCCCCATTGTACAAGCATGAGACTTGATTAATGTTTTGAATATAAGTGTTACACCTCCTATCAAAATCACTATGTTACATTCTCTTTTCGTTTTTCATTCCTCTTTCGATTGTGTGTACCAAACAAAACCGTATGGATTACCCTTGATCATTGATCGTACACGACACACTGTAGAATACGTCAAACAAAAGCGGCTGCATAGTTCACATACATTAACTGTGGGAGTCACGTCGGAAAAATTTTGTCTAATACTCCATTTATGTTCACGTAATCTCCTTATGTCCCTCAAATAACTCTTGCCACAAAATCCATTTCAATTTCAATCCACATTTGAGGAGGTATGGGTCAATTCAGATTGCTTATATGGTTCGCTAAAGTTTTAAAGTTTTGTGCTAATAACCAAATTGATGCATCTCCCATCCCGGCTGAGGAAATTGAAACTATTTCAAAACAAAGCACAATTTGTATGAACCAGTCAATGGAAATAAAGTACTACTAGAATCCTATTCGAAACCCTAGGGACCAAAACCAAGGATCAGCCATACGCTGCCACGAGAAACTTCAAAATACCAAGAGAACACAAAGAGTCGCCTAAGAATAAAGCGGTCATTCAACAGCAGATTAGAGAGATGACCAAAGAAGGTAGATACCGGGTCAATTCGGAGAAGCAGAAGAGGCTTGCTCCATGAGTTTCTTGTCCCTTCTTTCCATCGCAACATCCCACATATCGTTCCCAATGTGCTTCGGCTGCAAGATCCGAATTTGTTAAAAGGGTTAGAACGAATCTGTATTACTGATAACAAAAATCGAAAAAGAAGAAAAAGAAGAAGAAATACTCGGCCATGAGCGGCTCTGTGAATGTAATATTGAGCGTTGCCCATAACACAAAGCATTCCTGCTATGATTCCTAGCGGAAGAGTAGCTTCCAACCAAACCCAACTCATTTTCTCCTTCTCCGATTCTGATCTCTTCGTTTCCAGCGATGCCTGCAATTCGTTCCGAAGGGTACAGAACTACTGATGCCTACTGATCAATCTCATAGCAGGCCTGATCAGATTAGGCTTTTTCTTGGGCCGTCCACCTAAGTTAGGGAGAATTAGTGGGCTCAATAGAATCCATATGTAAGACAGAGAAATCCAAAGCTAAGGGTGTGTTTGGAACACCTTATGATCACTTTTAAGAAACACTTTTTCGCAAATCAAAACAAATTTCTTTATATATTTATTTTGTATACTGTAAAAGTATTTATGAAATCATGGTTTTGTTCTTATCTAAACACCCTCTAAGACTAGTTTTTCCTCTAGGGTAAAAAATACCCAAGAAAAAAAAAAGAAGTGTAGTGAAAATAATAATTTTTCCCATTTCTCAAAAAGGAATGGAATTGGAATCTTCTTCTTGAGATGAGAACTTTGTTAGTTTGCACAATTCACTATGTTACAATATAATGAAATCACTTGGTATTTTTAGAAGGCCTTGAAATATGTTGAAAAGAATCAGATCTATATATAAAATGTGATGACTACTTGCAATTCAAATGGTAAAAGTAATAAAATAAGTAGATATAAATATAATGTAGTTGGGTTATCTAAGGAGCACATAACTAAGGAAAATAGGATTTTTTTTTTTGGCCTTGTATGGAGCATAGATATTGATGATATTTAAACCAATAAATATGCTAATTAGCTTGCAGGAAATGCTCTTATACTTGATGTATGCTGCTTCATTACTCTATATTTTCTCTTTTGCATAGCGAGGGGTCAATTGATTTGGACAAAAGTCTACAATATGTGCTTTAATTTTGTTTTTTCTTTCTTGGTTATACTGTGCTGTGGTCATTTACAACTTCCAATTGTGATGGTTTATGTAGTTTGACTCCAATAACATATAGCTATCTTGAATTTCATTTGATAGTGAGAGGCTCTAAAAATGTAATATTTACGAATTAAAATTTCATATTTGTAAGTTCATTTGAGTCAATTTATATTTACAAGCCAACCTTATAAATGTTAAATTTTTTGATATCTGATAGTTTTAAACGAAATTTAAGAACCCATCTCTATTTAATTTTCTTTCCGATCTAGAATCTGGGTAATTCTTTTTGGAAGAATAATCCCTACTATTTATGGCAATTTGAATAAGTGATTTTATACTACACTCCTTGCTCTTATTTATAGAGCAGTGAGAAAATATTTTTGATTCTATTTCTAAGGTATTGAAAGGAATTTTTTTGTATAAATGTATAATTTTATCCTTCGTTGATCATTGTATTAATTTTATTTATATGAGGTATAATATATATTAAATGAAAATAAAATTGAACAGTTGTTAAATTTTAAATAAGAGTTAATGAAATTTAAGATTTTTTTTGTCCAAATAAAACATGCAAGTGACTTATAAATATAATAAAAAAGTATGAGATAAATATATAAATTGTTAAATAAGTTCTGACTCATGAAGCGTAAAAGAGCTTCTTCTAAGTGATTATCGTGCCTGTTTGGCAGGGCTTAAATTGGTCCATAAGCCACTTATTTTGGACAGAAACCCGATTGGGAAATGGAGTGCAGTTTGGAAAGGCTTAAATCCAATTGAGCTTATCTTTCATAAGCTCAAGTAACCGTGCGTTTCCCAAAAGCTGGAAGGAGGAGCTTTTGAAGAGCTTATTGGATCGTTGATGTGTCAGAGCTTATTCCCCCATTCATTATTCCCTCGTATTCCTTTCTTCGTTTTTTTTCGACCAGGAGCTTTCTCTCACTTCTGCCGTATTTTTCATGATGACATATTGCTGATCAATTTGAATTCATTCCTAGAGTGAGCAAAACACTGATGAGGATAGTCAAAAGAATTTAAGGTTTTAAAATTTAATTTATTTATTAAATTTCACTTCTTCATATTAAATTAATTTAAATTTATTGTATATTAGTATAAATTAACAATCATCATCAATATAAATCATCAATTGATATTAGTATAAATTTATCAATATCATATATAAAATGAAAACCAAAGTTGATGTTGTATATTTACGGGTATCATTCATTCATTCCAAATTTTTCAATCAACTTTTTTTTTCTTAGAAAAATCTCTTAAAAGGACAGTTAAACAACTCAAATTTTGATTTTAATTATTAAATTTATCAAACTCCTACTTAGGTCACATGATTTAAAAAGAGATTTTCACTTCTTTATTATATTATCTCAATTTAGTTTTTTTTTTCATGTTTCACTTTATATTTAAGATATTTTTTATGATTTCTCTAAGGTGTTAAAATTTAATTCACTCTATAAATTTGACTCTTTCATATTGTATTATTTTAATTTTATTGTATTATGTGAAATCATTTTTTTTAATTATGTTTCATTATTTATTAAAAATCATACATATTTTGGTCATTTTACAACTAAACTTACTTTTACTCAACCCTGATCCAAACAACCTTTTACCAATATCACTTTTGCAAACTAGCTTTTCTGAACTCTAATCCAAACACAATTCAGCTTATCCAATTTAGCTTTTACCCAATTTTACTTTTCTATAAGTTACTTTTTCAATAAGCTACTTTTCCAATAACTAATCCAAACAGACCCATCATATGTTCCCAAATAAGGTCTAAGCTGAGTGTACTCTCTTTCTCACTTCTAGGCAAGCTACCTGCATATCGGCATTACTTTTTTCTTTTTCTTATTGGTGAAAATTGTGTTAACCCAGAAATTGCATTAAGCCATGACACAAAACAACCATAATACATACAGACATACACAAGTTTTCAAGAAAAAAAATAAATTATGAAGAGAAATGCCGCTTCTTCTAAAATAAATTTGTTTTTGTTTTTGTTTTTGTTTAAAACACATCCTAGGATTCTTCACAAGAGGAACAGAGGGCCACTCTGCCTTGCCTGCCTTGTGCTCTCCTTTCATTTATCGTTTAGTCCACAGGACCCCCTGATTGCCATTTCCTCTGCCCACCCTCTCTTGTTTTTTTCTTGTCTTCAAATGATATTCCTCATTAATTAAAACCCACAAATTTTATGTCTTTTATCCTTGTCATTTATATGCATTTTTTCTCTCCTTCTTGTTGATGGAATCTCCTAACAAGAATCCCAAGCTTTGAGCTTTGCTATTGTTGGATTGGTGTCCTCAACCAATATTATACATATGTGTGTGTGTGAGATCCTACCAATTGGACGCATTGACTAGTTTTATTTTACATTTGGTGATCTTTTGCTGTCTTTTCATGGTAAGAAATTAAAATGCAAAAGTAAATAAATCAATTATAAAAAAAAATGAACACAGTTCTAAAAGGATAGCTTCTAGCTAGATAGATTCTCTCAATCCAGGGATTGAATTATGGGAGGGAAAAATCATTACTCTTAAGAAAAAAACCAATTGTAATCAAGAGAAAAGAAAGAAGAAAACAAGGAATAATGTGAAGAGGAAGACAATCATTTTAGACATTTTCTATGTGTGACTCATGCTTAATTAACTAAAATCGCTTTGTTTCAAAGCATATGTTGGAATCACTGCGTGGAGAAGAAAGAAATATTGTGCGTCTTTGACTCTGTTACTTCTAGATCCATGTGAAAATCTTATTAATTGATATCAATTTATATTTATCCTTGTAAGCGGACTTTGAGTTGGTATATTTATCTTGATAAAATCCTATGAGTATGACTCAATTAAGCTTTTACATTTTTGAAAAAAATGAGGTCAAAAAGGCTGTTGGTAGGTAAGTTTTTCATGGAAACTCAGTAGACTAGACAGTTACGTGATAATTTCAGTTAGTTCTCCTTATTTTAAAAAAAACAGTTAAAAAAATGCACTCTACTGTACCTCTGAAATAAAATTGTTATTAATGTAATTAAATATAATTTGATTATAATATTTGATATTATTGGTGACTTTGGGTGATTTGTTGCTTTTAACTGTCTAATTGTATTTAAATTATTAGTTAATAGTTAGTTATTAATAATAAACGTGTGTTGATTTTTCTAAAATGCTATCTTTAATTATTTGCATTGAAAACTACTCTCATTAATAAGACAAAACTCATTTTAATATGAATAAAAAGAATAATCTATTCTTACCATCCAAGTTAGTACTTCTCTGATTCTTAATATAAGACCTATTTTATAGTATAAAGTCTTATGTCACGAACAAGAAGGATATAAGTGTTTTTTTTTAATTTTTTAATCACAAAAGTGTTTGTATTCTCATGATGTATTAATATTAATTCTCCTCAATTGCAAGAAGATAAAAGACGAGACAGTCAAACTTTGCATGTATATGTGAGACACATGACTAACTTAAGCTAATTAAGCATTATACTAGTTTCTACTACTCTGATATAAAAGTTAGTTAGAAGTTGAGTTTGGTCATAACTACTAAGCATAAAGCTCCAATCTGTTTTGTTCTCTATACTTATTAGTTCTTTTTCAAATTATCTTATCCCTATTGGTTGTATACGTTAATGAAGTTTGTAGCAAGATGTAGTTTCAATATAATGATTTAAGAGAGTATTTTAGAACAATCAACTTATATTTTTAACAAATAACTAACTTAATTAATATTCTTAATCTACCCAGATCAGTTAAGCAACTTCATATTAAGGATATAAACTAGTGTATACTATTTTCGGTCTTAATTATAAAATCTCGTTTGTAATCTATAAATAAAGTCTTATAATTATAATGGGGTAGTATAAAATAAAAGAGCCGCGCACACACATATATATAATGAAGAGAAGACCAAAATCGGCAAGGATCATGAACTTTGGTCATTTGTGTTGTCGTTGAAGCGTTCAACACTGCCTTTACAACTCCTCACGCTTTGTTCTTTTCTGGCCTCAATGAATGCTTTCCTCAATATTATATATATAAAGTTCCCCCAACTCAACACAACCCTTGTTGTTTTTGGAATAATCCAATACTAGGTATGGTATACCAACATATATACAATAATTTTGTGGTTTCATGTTTGTGTGTGTGTATATATATGTCATGTCCCTTCTTATA